TTCCCAATAGAAGGGAAGGAGTCTGAATCTGATTGTGAGCTCTCCATTTTTTTTTTTTTTAAAAGTGTGTTCAGGTACTGTTAAACACAGGCAGAGGCCCACTGCCCCGGCAACCTCCTAAATCCACCGCAGCTATTTATTCAGGATCCATTGGCTGAGGCAGAGTGGAGGGCAGTGGAAAGCACGGAGTATTGTCCTAGTCTCCAGAAAGGGCAGGAAAGGTTTGGAAGGGAAAGCCTCACTACAGGCCTAAGTCTGCATGGTACCAAGAGGAGGTATGTCTCCCATGTTCTGGAAATGATGCAGACTTGAATGTTGACGTCAGAGACCTAGTTACAGACAATTGAGAAGGGGATTAGCAGCACATTGCTCTGTTGAGGTTAGGTAGAGGAGAAAGAACACCAAGAGAAAGGTGCCACTCCTGCCACAGAAAACTCGGTGGAGAAGGGGCATTTAATCCAAGCAGATCTATAACAAGTGCGGCCAAGAGGAGTTGGTAGCATGGAAGACAGCACCTGGCATACAACAGGCACTTAGTAAGACTAAAGACTTAGCAGGGACTCCCCTCCCCAGTCTAAGGAGCGCAAATGGAGGGCCTCACAAAAGAACCATGGGGCAGAGTCCAGGAGCAGATACAACATGGCCCATATCTAGCGTGAGCAGACAGATCGGGGTAGAAGAATAACCTACTCATAAACAAAAGCATAGCCTGCTGAAAAGGGCACTGAGAGCCAAGATTAGAAGGCAGAGTCCCAGTATACAGATGGGCCAACTGAGTTCAGCTAATGGAAAAGTACTGGCCCTGGAAATCTCTGCGCATGAAGCTAGAGGAAAATGTAGGCCTGGCTACAATGGAGCTAAAATCAAGAGTGAATACACTCAAAATATGCACCAACAACCCAGATAACCTCTTAGTCCCAAAGGGTTCCCAGGCTGTTTGGTGTGGTAAATTGACTCTACCTGGAAGCCTGACTCTTCCCATTGTCTCCCTCTCCACACCCCTTCTCTCTCTTTCTCCCTCCCTTCCCCCTTCTCCTCTTTCCCCTCCTTTGCTATCTTCCCAGAACCCTGCCCTGCTAAAGGGAGGAAAGCATCAAAAGTAAATGCCTTATTACAAAGCAGCCTCTGTTCATTGCCTTGGCTGTTGTTAGAGGGGCAGGGAAAGGTTCTGCCTCTGTGCATGCTTGTATGGGCTCAGGAGGGTATGGATGAGGCAAAGTTTGGGACTCAGCTATACATATCTGTCTTCTCTTTGTCTCTTCACATTCAGCATGAAACCTAGAAATTAGAAGTGCACAGTGAGATGCACCATGTTCACCAGCACTGTCAGATAAATAGCAACCGTATTTTCAGGTAGGATATATTCCACATGTTGCATGAGATATAGATATATATTTATATGCACTTTATCATTTGGCACAGAAACTTAAATAAGTTTCCTCTAATTTGAAGTCCTACAATGATCTTCTCTTTTTAAAACTTTTCTCCACCCCACTTATTGAAAACAGATTCTTTTCAAGTTCACTATAATCTGAATACAATTTCTCCTGACTCCCTTTCTCTACTCCTCCCAGCTCCACCCAGTCTCTTTCATCCAGGTCCACTTCCTTTCTGTCTCTCATTTAAAAAAAAAAAAGCCTTCTAAGATATAACAACAAACCACAACAAAATAAAATATAATAAAACAAAAATAAAGAATAATGTTTATTATTGTATCTTGCATTCTATTTTCTCCACGTGCTAAGTGCTGAGATTGTAGGCATGAACCACCAGTCTTGGCTAAGAGGATTTGGGGGGTGGGTTCTATTGTTTTTTAAATTCATCAATTTGTTTTTTAAATTTCATTTTACATTCCAACCACAGTTCTCCCTCTGCTCACACTCCCCATGCATCCCCACAGCAGCCCACACCTTCTCTACTCCTCCCGAGGGGTAAGGGCACATTAATTTGGGGCAGGACCAAGTCCCTCTTTCCTGCATTAAGGATAGCATCACATCTCAACACAGAGAATGGGCACCAACAAACAAGGCTGAGCACCAAGGATAGATCCTGATCCCACTGCTGGGGGCCCCCTCAGATAGTCCAAACTTCACAACTATCTCTCCACATACAGAAGGCCCATCTGAGTCCATCAATTACTGGAGAAGCCTCTATAATGATAGTTGGGGTAGTCACCAATCTGATAATAGGGGAAGGCTGGTTCAGGAACCCTTTCCACTACTGCTAGGAATCTTAGCCGGGATCATCCTTGTGGATTCTTGGGAATTTCCCTAGCACCAGGTTTCTCCCTAAAACCATAGTGACTCTCTCTATCAAGTTCCCTCTTACATTGCTTTCCCACTCCATTCTCTATGACCATCCTGTTCCCTCATGTTCTCCTTCACCATTGCCTCTCCTTCACCACGGCCTCACCCCCAGTTTACCCAGGGGATTTCATCTAATTCCCCTTCCCAGGGCGATCCATGCATCCCTCCTTGGGGCTTCCTTGTTACCTAGCTTCTCTGGAGCTCAGGATGGCAGCCTGGTTACCCTTTGCTTTACATCTAATATACACTTAGAAGTGAGTGCATACTATGTTTGTCTTTCTGAGTCTGGGTTACCTCACTCAGAAATTTTTTTCTAGTTCCATCATTTAACCTGCAAATATCATGATGTCTTTTTTCTGAAATAAGAATAATACTCTATTATAGAAGTGTACAGCATTTTCTTTATCCATTATTATATAGTGAGACATCTAGGTTGTTTCTAATTTTGGGCTATTGGGAATAGAGTGGAAATGAACATGGAATAGCTAGTGACCTTCTGGTAGGTTGAAGTGTCCTTGGGGTATATGCCCCAAGTGCTATATGTGGAATATGAGGTAGTTTGAGTCCCATCTGGAGTACAAGTATTGAAGAGATCAGGATACAAGGAACCTATCTAAACACAATAAAAACAATTTACAGCAAGCCAACAACCAGCATCAAATTACACGGAGAGAAACTCAAAGTGATTCCACTAAAATTAGGAAGAATACAAGGATGTCCACTCCCTCCGTATCTTTTCAATATAGTATTAGTTGACCTAGCTAGAGCAATAAGACAACAAAAGGAGATCAAGGGATACAAATTGGAAAGGAAGAAAAGTCAAACTTTCATTATTTGCAGATGATATGATAGTACATATAAGTGACCACAAAAACTCTACCAGAGAACTCCTACAGCAGATAAACACCTTCAGTAATGTGGCAGGATACAAGATCAACACAAAACAATCAGTAGCCCTCCTATATAGAAATGATAAAATAAAGAGAAAGAACTCAGAGAAACATCCCTGTTTGCAAGAGCCACAAATATAAATTATCTTGGGTTAGCTATAACTAAACAACTGAAACACCTATATGACAAGAACTTTAAGTCTCTAAAGAAAGAAACTGAAGAAGATATCAGAAAATGGAAAGATCTCCCACGCTCATGGATGCTCTTGCATAGGTAGGACCAACATAATATAAATGGCAATCTTACCAAAAACATTCTAGAGATTCAAAGAAATGCCCATCAAAATCCAAACACAATTGCTCACAGACTAATAGAACAATATTCAACTTCATGTGAAAAAAAAATTACAATAGTTAAAACAATCCTGTACAATAAAGGAACTTCCAGAGGCATCACCATCCCTGAATTAAAACTTCACCATAGCGCTGTAGTGATAAAAACAGTTTGGTATTGGCATAAAAGCAGACACATGGACCAATGAATTAAATTAAAGCCCCAGGTATTAATTCCTCTGGGCAATGTGCCTTGGCTTCTCTGAGGAGTAGATGAAGGTTGGGGGGACGGGTAAGAAGAGGGAATGGGCTGAGGAGAGGGAATAGAAACTTGGATGGTATGTAAATGAAAAAAAATGATTGTTTTCTTTTTAAAAATACTCACTTTTCTAACTCATCTGAACATACATGAAATATTTATTTAATGATTTTGTATATTGAGACATATACTAGGTGATGTATGAAAAGAGGACATATTTCAGAAAACCTCTCATTTTTGAAACTTACAAAGCATGCGGTGAGATACATAAACATGCAGAAAGTGACAGCACCTTAGGGTTTTGTGAACCAATAGCTACCGCACATTTAGTTATTTCCGTAAATGGAGTGATGGACAGTATTGGCAACGTTAAGAAACAAAATGAGCAGCCTGACCAAGATTATAAAAACTGCCTTTCAAGCCCGGAAACTAAGGCGTGTTTTAAAAGAGAAAGGAGGTATGCTAGAGAGGGTTTCAGGAAGCTACTCATACTCTCAAACATGACCGCATATCAGCAACATATTATTATTAATTCCCCATGATACTGGCATGTTGAACCACCTGCAGGTAAAGTTGAAGTAAAATTGATGGGACTGAGTAATTCAAAGTATCATTCATTGTTAGCTTACCATGCTTCAAAGAATATAAGGTTTGTTCTTATAATTGTTGTTGTTATTATTTTTATTGTTATTATTTTTCCTTTGATTGAAAATAGATTGTTTTCTCATGCAACAAATGTCCCAAGAATCCTATCAAAGCACTAAACTCAACCTGGAATCCAGTATGCTCAAAGGACCTGATGCAGACCCTTGCAGAGACTCTGAACGTTGGCGCGGTTCCTCTGACTTCACAAGGGCTTTGATGAAGCTGTTACCAGGTGTGGGGATGTAGCTCAGAGGTAGAGCACATGTTTCGCATATATGAGGCCCCGGGTTCGAGCCCCGGCATCTCCAAAACAATACTTTTAACCTTTGATTTTCTTTTTTCAGGATGTTTCTGTACAAGGTGTCCCAGAATTTAAAGTCCCATGATGAGGTTATATATGCATAGCTAATTATTGGATAAAATTGCTCATTTGTCACCGTGACAGCAATGTTCATCTTTGTGACGACATTTCCATAGATACCACCATGGTCTGGTGAGTACAATGTGGTCGGGCTTTTAGGGATATGCTTTGTTCACAGAGCGGAAAAAAAAGAAAAGCTCTGCATTCGTAGTGGGGACAGTTTCTCTAATGGGTATGCTTTCTTGGGTGAAAACAAGGGTGAAGAGTTCTTCCTTTGAGAGGAAGTAAGGGAGGGCTGGGCGGAGCCATTCCTGGTTACTAAGGGGGAGGCAGCATTACGGTTTTCATAGAAACCGGGGTCATTATGGCGACTCTTTTCAAATGGCGACCTGACGATGTCCTGGAAAGGAGCATTCAGTTCCTGGTGTTTGGACTGAGTTGAGCTTATGGATTCCCGGAGGTGAGCACCAGAATCTTTCTGAGGGTTGGGAGGCAGATGCAGGGATTCCAGACCCAAGTTGAACCACTCCTACCTCGTGCTTGCAGCCTGTGTTTCTCCGGAAGGAGAGAGACTTGGGACCATTCTGCCTCCTCCTGTGCTGTTCTGTACAGGGCTGTGCTGGAGCCATTGTCCAGGAGGGGAGTTGTCGTAGAGTGAGCAGGAGGGAAATGAGGCCAAATGAGCACTCTGTGATCCCGACTTCCCACTCTGTGCGTGAGATTGCTCGCTGACATTTGAGGTTTTCCGTATGTTTCATAGAAATGTTAGAAATGTTTTATCAGATATATGTATTTCTAACTTTTCTCCTAGCCTCAGACTTATCATCTCAATTCTCATCCATGTCTTTGGAAGAGCAGGAGATTTTAAATTGTAAGATCCCACCTTCTCTAGTTCTTCAATTACGGTTTTTATTCGGTGTCTTGTCTGCGAAATCTTTGCCTGGCACTCAGTGACAGGGATTTTCTTCTTGTGTTCTGTTTGACATTTATAGGCTGATTTTTATATTTTTACATCTGTAATTTATTTTGAATGGTCTTCACATATGATACGATGTAGGTCCTAGTTTATATTTGTGGGTTTGGATATACACTTGCCTCAGTATTGCTTCCTGAAAGGCCATCTTTATGCATCAAATTGCCTTGTTTATTTGTGAAACATCAGTTCTCCAATTATCCAATCATGGTACATATGCCAGTAATCCCAGTGCCTGGGAGGCTGCAGCAGGAGTATGGTCAGTTCTTCTCAGCACACACTACACGCACTACACACAAGCTTGATGCCAGCATCAGACACAGGAAAAATGTTGACTCGATATAGGCAGTGGTCTGTAAATGTGTGGATGTGAGCGTGGAATGTTGGTTTTGGACTTTTTCTTGCCAACTTTGATTCAAAAGCATGCTGGTCCAATTACTGTAGGTTCAAACAGAGGTCTCCTATCAGGCAATGCTGTTCTCTAACATTTGTCTGTTTCTAAGGTTTACACAAGCTATATATTTAGTCTACAATGTTTAGAATTATCCACTCAATTTTTATATTTATTTATTTATTTATTTATATTTTTTTGATTTTTCGAGACAGGGTTTCTCTGTGGTTTTGGAGCCTGTCCTGGAACTAGCTCTTGTAGACCAGGCTGGTCTCGAACTCACAGAGATCCGCCTGCCTCTGCCTCCCGAGTGCTGGGATTAAAGGCGTGCACCACCACCGCCCGGCTTCCACTCAATTTTTTTTTTTTTTTGGTTTTTCGAGAATTTTTAAAAAGAGTAAGTGCTATTTTATTGTTAGTGCATCGAATCTGTAGCTCAGTTTTGAATCAACAGACATCTTACTAATAATGAATTGTTTGAGCCGTGAACATAGTTGTCCTTCATTAAGACAGGTTGTCTCCAATTCAGCAATGTTTGGAAATCTCTCGGCCTATCAGCACTATGGATCTATCTGTCGGGATAATGCACAAATATTTGTACTTTTTGATTCATCTATAACTGCTATTATTTTTTAAACAAATAGATACGTATTGTTTTTTCTGTGAACAAATTATTAAATCTTCTGTAAACTGTCAGGAAACAAGTGTCAATGAAACTTACAAAGGATATATTTTGTTGAAAGCATGGATTATCCCATGATGAAAACGTTATTTGATGTGTAATGCAGTTTGTCGCTATTTTCTTATCGGCATTTACAGGTTATTATTGACAGTCTGAAACAAATGAGAGAAATGTCCCAGAGACAAGTCCATGGCCATCGTCACAGGAATCTCATTCAGACCACATAATTTAGGAGCTCTCACCATCCTGTGTGTGGTCAGAGACGAATCTTTTGTAACGTGATTGTACCCCTTGAGCTCTCAGTAAACACCAGGGAGCTAGGAGAGTGAGAATGAGAGGTGTCGTGTGTGTGTGTCGTGTGTGTGTGTGTGTGTGTGTGTGTGTGTGTGTGTGTGTGTGTGTGTGTGTGTGTGTGTTTGTACAGGAATTCCTTGGCAGAGGCTGGTCTGCAAAGCCTGATTGATTGACTCTTAGACCTGCAGTGATATGGAGATGGTGGAAGTCGCAGTCCCAGGGCCTAATTACAATTTCCTTTGTGTTCTCTTGAGCCCATGAGTAGCCAATCCTTGGGCCCCCTGTGTTGGACTTACCTAATACCTTGTCACTAACAGATGACGTTGGACCTGACATTTAAAATATCAGAATATGTCTCCTTAACAAAGCTCTAAGTTTCTGCGAGTCAAAGTACTGTGTGTCATCACATAGCAGCTAGTAGCTGAGGTTTCTCTGCTTTACCACAACAGTCTACTTAATATTATCACCCATGTACTTAAGGAGAGTCTATAGTTTCTTCATTCTGTGATAATTAAAACTTCATGAAACTGTTTCCACATTGTGACATGCAATTTGTACTAACATAAACCTGTCTCACTCATGTTTACTCACATATATTTGACTCCAGAATGAACTCTCTTCTTCCTTCGAGGTGAGAGCTGTGTGTTTACATTGACAATTGTTAGTGTGTGTTGTGTATATACTCATGCTTGTGCAGATATGTCCCTGGATATATATGTGTGAAAGTTAGTTAATCACTTACTGCTGTGATAGGTTATGTGTTATAATTCTCCTGGTCCTCTTCAATGATGACCTGGTGTGTAGTACACTGCTTACTTATCTCCATAGTTCTTTACTCATGTGCTGACTTTTATCAGTATGGCTCAACACCCATTTTCCTAAACTGTTTTCCTCTCTATTGCCGTTCTCTATTTCCATGCTCCATTTGTCCCAGTATTGGCTAGAGGAATCCTTTTAAGATGGCATCAATGAATATCACAAATTCACCTTAAGCTTAGGAGCTCACAGCCCTGCTTCAGGGAAAGTTTGCCCCAAATTAACAGCTCTGCTCTGGTAGGGGAGGGTTACCCCAGCCAGGTTGTTACAGCTCTCCTTAGATCCTCAGAAGAGTAACAACTCTGCTCTGCTAGGAGAAGCTTTTCCAGTTCTGCTCCCCTCACCTCTGCCTTGCTCCAGTTGAAGTCATTGCTTCTCTGTTCTTCTTAGGCAAAGAAGGTCTCACCCAAGCCTCATTTAAGAGATTCACTGGGAGGGAAGAGTCCAGGAGGTGGCTGACCCTGCAAGAGTGGGAAAGGCAGCTCCCAACTGAACAGGTACAGGGTGGTTTCATGCTCAGTGATTAGCTTGTTTTCCTGCTCTGGGATTGGTTCCTTTTATGCTGAGAGTTTGGTTAGTTTGTTTCGCTGAATTGGTAAGTGGAAGAGTGTGTTTCTGTGGCTTTGGTTTCAGGGGCAAAGTGTGTTTATTTCACTGGCCTTTTTAAAACGTTGGGCTCTGGTTTCAGGGCCAGTGAATTGATTCTAGTCTCAGGGTCAGTGTATGTTTCTTTTGCTCTGGTTTCAGGATCAGGGTGTGCTGCTTTGGACAGAAAGGGGTGTTGTTTCCCCTAGAAACAGATATGCAGTCCATTGTGGGCCAGCAAGTGAGTGCTGAGAACCCAGCCCAGGTCTTCTGTAAGAGCAGCAAGTCCTGTTAACCATGGGGCAATCTCTGAAGTCCAAGTCACCAAATATAAAACGTAATTTGTATTTTTCCACTTTTCCCCATAATGACAATAGACATCTTCTTATACTCAGGTAGGTATAAGTTTCATTATTATTTACCAATCCATAAAGTTTCTTTATGTTACTTAGGTTCTCATACCCAACCACTGCCCAACTCTGTCTGCAGAAAAATACAACAATCTGATATTATAGACAAATTTATATATGCTGGAATGTATTAGGATAAAACCAGAGTTTAGAGACATCTGGCCTTCATTCATCTTGAATATATGTTTAAATTTATCTCTTTTGTTGCCCATGATAATTGTTCATTCTTAATATGAAATAGTGTAGCAATGTATAGCTACACGGCAAGTTTTATAATTTAGTTTATTTCATGTGTATATATGCTTGCCTACATATAGGTATGAAGAGCTCATGCATGCCTGTTGCTCATGGAAGCCAAGAGTGGACATTGAATCCCTTGGCACTGGAGTTAACAGTTGAAAACTGCCGTGCTGGTTTTGGGAAATGAGTCTTTGCCTGTTGCCTGTTGCTGAGGTTGTTTTCAATTTCAGTGTCTTGTATATAAAGCTGTTGTGAACTGAAATAAATAAGTCTTTAAAAGAAAATATGTCCTCTTTCTCCAGGTTATATATTTGGGTTGTGATGGCCAGATGACAATTAACATATGAAGAAACAGAAAAAGATTTTTCCAAGTTATCATCCTGTTTTCCATGGCCACCAGCAGTGGGTATTTGAGAGTCATCCTCCACAAACTTGCCAGGTCTTTGTATGACAAGTCTTTATTTCTGAGTATTTTATATGGGTGTCGAGAGTCCCATCAGAATCACCTGTCTCTCTTCCCTAAGTGTTAAGCATGTTGCTGCTGTATGTTTCTCTTAGTGGAGCATCTACTCACCCTTCTGGTCAAGTTTTATTTCCTGAATTGTTTATTTTCTTAGTGTCTCCTTTAGAAGCTTTCTGTATTCTGGATACAGGAAGACTGTCATCTGATATACAATTTCCCACATTCATTTTCCCAGGTAAGAAAAATATGTTTCTATCATATATTTGGAAGAATAGACATTTTCTCACTTTATGGAATTCTTAACACTCCTGTTCTTCATTTAATGAATGGGGGTTTGCCGTATCTAAGAAGTTTGTTTGTAATTCATGAACCTGAACATCCAATTGTATTCTGCTACAAGATTCATGTTTAGGTTGTAATTTGGACTTCTTTTAGGTTTATTTTCCCTATTTACTGAGGGTCTGCCTGTATGTCTGTGTGTGCCATATACACGTTTGAGTGCAGATGCCCACTGAGACCAGAAGAGACTGTCAGTTCCCCTGGATCTGGAGTTACAGACATCTGTCACCCACCATATGGGTGCTGGAAACTGAAGTCAGGTCCTCTGCAATAGCAAAAGGCACTCTTAACTTCTGAGATGTCTCTCTAGTCCTGTGTAGATCATTTGTTCATTCTCGATTGACTTTTGTATCCTGCGATATACGTTTGTCTATATTTATATTTGTGCATAGGGAGGTCTGCTTGTCCCAAAATAAGACAGAAAGACAGGGCATTGAAGGGGATATGAGAGGGAACACACAGCCCCTCACCCTGTAATCATTTTTACATTTTTCTGACATTCAAGAAACCTCAAGCCAACTGATAGAGCCAAAATTACCTGCAGATATGATGCAACTATTCCTAAAGACATCCCAAATAATGTTTAAAAATAACAACAAATAAACTAGAGTCTGAAGATAGGGTGTCAGGAGCTGTTTCCTCCTGAAGTCATTACAGGAACCACCACCCTGGGGAGTCTGCAGAGAACCCCACACCCCTAATTGTGTTAGGAATCGTTCTATTGACAGAGCCTACCCCATACCCAAATTGGCTGTTAATGGAGAGCTATCTGTTAGTGGAACCCGCCCCACATTCCAAACTATCTAGAGAACTAGGTGTGTCAACTCCTAGTTGTGAGTTCCCCGCCTATGTGATCTGACCGAATGTAACCTCCTGGCCTAGTGACCAACGTGAACTACGTGAACCATGCGACAAGAGTCCAGGCCCCTGTGCCCCCCCCCTCCAATTCCTTACCCTATATAAACTGTAAACCTGTCTCTAATAAGCGCAGGCTTCGACAAATCTACCTAGCCTTCTTCCTCTTTCCCCCCATATCTTCCAGATAGTGCCTCTCCGGGACCCTGGAATAGCTGAACTGCCAGGTGGGTTACAGACCCTAGACTGAGTAACCCACCCAAAGCGGTTTACAGTGGCGCCCGAACCAGTGACTCGGAGCACGGCCAACTATTGGATGAAGATGGGCGGTCCCGGGACAACAACAAGAAGAAAAAAGAAGATTCTGTGGCTGTAGAACTCAGACACATCTGCAGAATGAGGTAGGCGCAGGATCACTGTCGTCCAAAAAGATATGGGACTTTCAAAGGAAGAGAAATTCATACAGGAATTTGCGCACGCCTTTAATCCCAGCACTCGGGAGGCAGAGGCAGGCGGATCTCTGTGAGTTCGAGACCAGCCTGGTCTACAGAGCGAGTTCCAGGACAGGCTCCAAAGCCACAGAGAAACCCTGTCTCAAAAAAAAAAAAAAATCAATCAATCAGGGAGAGAGGAGTAAGAGTCAAAAAGAGAGATTTATGTGTTTGCTTTATGTGTTTGCTTGCAGACTCAAAAGGGAGTCCCTCGAGGTGCGAGAAGTTAGGGTACAATCCACACAGCTATGCCTGCCAAGCAGGCTGGCTGCTAGGGCTAGAGAGCCTATGTCTTTAACCCCCTGCCATATGGAGCAAAAGCTGACAGGCAGGTTTGCTATAAAGGAATCTAGACTCAAAAAGCTGCAGCTTCATTTAGGACAGTAAATATGCTTCTTTTCCATTTTTAAAAATCTTGTTTCTTGGTCAAAAATCTTTAGTTTGTAGGTGTCTAAGTTTATATCTAAGGTAGATTAATTTCAGTACTGTGTTTCTGTAAAAAAGTTTTAAAATCAAAGATTGTAATACATTAAGAAAATTTTTAAAATTGTTTAGGCTATCCTGAGTTTTCATTTCTTTCTCATAAAGTTGAGGTTTGTTCTTTCGAGTTCCGTGAAAAGTTTTGCTATAATTTTAATGAACATTTACATTAAAATCTGTATGTGAGTTCTGTGAAAAATGTTGCTATAATTTTTTTTAATTTATTTATTTATTGTGTATACAACATTCTGCCTCCATGTATGCCCACACACTAGAAGAGGGCACCAGATCTCATTACAGATGGTTGTGAGCCACCATGTGGTTGCTGGGAATTGAACTCATGACCTCTGGGAGAGCAGCCGGTGCTCTTAACCACTGAGCCATCTCTCCAGCCCGTTGCTATAATTTTTAATGGACATTTACACTGAATCTGTAGATTGCTTTCAGTAAAATTGTCATTTTTGCTGTGTTTCTTCTGCTTTCCCAAGAAAGTAGGGGATCTCTCAAGATTTAAAATTCTCATACAAGTTTTTCCATTTGTACGGCCCGCTCTTGGGTGGGAGTCGTATTGTTTCAGCTTGAGGTTCTTTCCTGCTGACAGGTGTTGCTCCAGGCTAAACTGCTGAGACTCCAGCCTCTCACTAAATTTATCAAGGGCAGGAGTTATACTCTACCAAGTGATAATGGTTAAAAATAAAAAACATTTCTGCCTTCACACGCAGAGATTACGGGACTCAAACTTCTGTCTTGCTTGCTTAAAGTTATTCCAAGATATTTTGTGGTATTCATGGATACTTAAAAGGATGATGTCTCATTTATCCTAGGTGTAAAAGAGGTACATTTGGGTTATTTTCAGATTCTGGCTATGATAAGTAACTCTGCTGTAAGCAAGTCTGAGCCCATGGTCTTATGGTTAAACAACTTTGTATTTAGGCCCAAAAGGGTTATTGCTAAGTTTTGAGGTAAATATTTGCCTAATTTTAAAAAAATAGACATAATGGGGGTCCCCCAGTGCTGGGGAGACTCTCACTCAGGTCTCCCCATGGCTCGCTGGAGGCCATCCTTGCTGAGGTAGTGCACGTGGCTTTAGTTGGGGGGGGGTGGGGGGAGGAGTTCAGCCTCTAGTGACCTAAAGAGAAAATTTTTGAAAAGGGGCCACAGCCCAGTGGTCCAGGAGGGTCATAAATTCCAAAAATACAGTGGTGGTCGCAGGAGGACAGCTGCCTGCCTTGGGACCACTCCCAGGGTCATAATCCGCTAGTTCCTAAAACAGTACTGTGATAATTGCAGCTGGAAAACCCGTTTTTCGAGGTAAAGGTCTGGCTTTGTCTTCAGACAGTTCCTGGTACAGGGTCGCTGAACAGGCTAGTCCTGGATTTTTGATCCTTCTCTTCCTGATGAGGGAGTCTGGTTTATCCAGGTTTTTCAATACTATGTGTGATCCAAAGGTGACTGTCAGTTTGCACTTCCAGCAATGGAGTTTTTTCCCTACCCACATTTTCTTAAGCATAAATTGTTAGCAGTAATTTTTAATCTTGGTCATTTTTGCAAGGATAAAATAAAATCTCAGAGTTTTGGTTTGCATTTCTCTGAGGGCTAAAGGATGTTCTGCTTAAACATTTTTTAGGTGTCTCTCATTTTTAAGTTCGTCTGAGAGTTTTCAGATTAGGTCTGTAACAAATATTCTTATTGGATTAATTTTTAATAACTAATTTCCTGAGTTCTTCATATATTTTTGAAAGGGATTTATGGTAAGTAAAGATCTTTTCCCACTCTATAGCCTTGTTATACAAAAGTTTCTCAATTCAAGAGATCTAGTTTATGGTTTCTCACAATGTTTGTGCCACTGAGGCTGTGTTTGAGATGTGGCAAAGTGTACTTCAAAAAATTTTTTCTCTGTGAGGTTCAACATAATTTTTATATGCTGAGGCCTTTGGCTCATTTAAAC